AGTTTTCCGGGCTGTATGGCGATGTTCCAGAAGCATTCTCTCCTGACGTTTCCCCCACATCTGTGGCAGGCATCCTCAGAGGTTGTGAGGCCATAAATGTGGGTGAAACGTCAGGAGAGAATGCTTCTGGAACATGACCATACAACACGGAAAACGCACAGCAACCCACTCTCTGTATTGATACCGTTTCCTCCCTAAAGGGGGAAATAGAGGGGTGAGGTGGGAGAAAGAAAGGCTGGAAGGGTGGTAAAATCAAGAGAGAAATACGGATTTAAAAGAAACGAACTGATACATTAAATGCAATTCTAAGCCCTTCTACTCGGAAGTAAGCTTTGGAAGGGCCCTTCCTTCCAGGCAGGCTGCAGAGCTCCTTAAAGGAAGGGAAGGAGAAGGAGGGGGCGGAGTGGGGAGTGTGGAGGAGGCTGTTCTCTGCCTTACTCCGCATGGGGAAACTTCAAGGCGCGGACTTTATGCTTAGTTTGCTTTCACTTATGAAGGGCTGTCAACACTGCGACGCCTCCGAGTTTACAGCTGGGGAGGCCTCGCAGGGGCTGCGAAAACCCGGGCCAAGGAAAAGGGGGGGGGAGTAAGTCGGAGGGAGGGGAGGGAGAAAAGTGGGATTTCTTTTCTTCCTTTTTTAATCCGAACTTGACGGTGTTTATTGAACCGAGTGGGACACTTAGAGCGAAAGAAGGCGCCACAGGAGGGGGGGGGGAGAGGGATGTGTGCCAGGGATGGTGGTACGTTGCTGTGCTCAGAGTTTAGTGAATGCAAGAAGGGAAAGGGGGAAAGAAAAAGACCCCAGATACAACCCTAACCGCCCCTCCGCGAAACTGGGTTCGGCCGCCAGAGACGCACGGGAGCCATTGACCCAAGAGGCCTCCTTCGCCGCTTCCTTGGGACCAAGGCATCAGCTGACCGGTAGCCCCAAGGCGTTTGGGGGGGGGGGTGGCTGAGGGCTAGGGCGCTTCCCTAGGCCTGGAGCCGGTCTCCAGGAAGGGATGGTGTCCGGTAATTGAGGTAATGGAGGCCTGGAGTGCAGAGGAGAGGAGGGATGCTTCAAGGCAGCCAGTGCTTTGGAGTCTGGAAGGAATAAGGTGGTGGCTAATGCAGAGAGGAGGAGAAGGTGAAGCAAAGTTAGATAGGCTTGGAGTCTTAACAGTCCTTTGAAGCAAGAGGAGGAGTCTTCTGACAGAGAGACCTGCAGCGATCCAGTTCTGTGCAGATAAAGATGGGAAGCCTCAAAGAGAATTGTGAGTGTATGAGTGAGTGTGTGTGTGTGAGAGAAAGACAGGCACTGCATGGGTCTGCCTGTGTAGGAGACTTATTTTCCAAGTTTCCTTCCATGACAAGCTTCCCTTAGTCACATAAATATTATATACATATAATACATATATTATATACACATATGTATATAATATTTGTGTGACTAAGAGAAGCTTCTCTTGGAAGGAAACTTGGAAAATAAATCGCCTACCCTCCTAACAAATGCAGATACGGACAGTGTCTCTCTCACACACACACTCACTCACACATATATACATATATATGTATTACATGCATATAATGCATATATATGCATTTTTAAAATGGCGGAAGTAGGTTTGGGTCTCCTACTTTTTAGGCTCACAACCGAAGAGGATCAATAACTATCATCAATCCAGGTCACTCCTCCCTCTCTTGTCATTCACGTCACAGATGACGATTAGAACCCCCCTCCCTTGAAAAAATGCCTGAGATTTAAAATACATTGTTCTCCAAGAACGACCCGCCTCCTAAATAAAATATATAAAATATATTTAATATTTATTTTATTTCGAGGTGAAGGGAACAGGAGACGCTGGGATGGGCCACGTGGTTGGGAAGGTGATTGGCTTCTATGAGAGAGACTGAGGGAAGATGCTCCTAGAAATCATCTCAGTCTGTTGCAGTGGCAGGAAGGAGCAGAAAGGTAGTCCCTTCCGCCCTCCAGGTAATTAAGAATTAGGTTATGGATGCCAATATTTCCCCTCTTTGTCCCGATGGGGAAAAATAAATAAACAAACAAATCTCCAAAAGAAGAGCATTTCAGAATATATTTCTCCAAGGAAGTTTCCTCAAACTGGTAAAATCAGAGGCGTGAAGACACAGACCCGGATGATTTTCCCCTGCAGTTTCCTAGGAGCAGGCGGTGCTGAAGAAGGCAGTGTAGCAATGTTCTGCTCCTTCTGTCTCCAAGGCAGAAGGGTCTCCAATCTCCATCCCTGCGGATCTCTGCTGCTCTTTTCCTCTCTGTTGCGACGGCGGCTGGCTCCCGGTCGCAGGACCCCTTGAACGAGGAGGGCTTTGCACTTACAAGCCTCCTAGTAGGATCGTTGGCTGTGAACAACCTGCCAGCGTGAAGGGAAACTGGCTTGGCGTTTGCCATCTTCTTTGTCTTCTTCTTAGGCTGCAAGGCTTCCCTTGGATCGAAAAGGCACCTCTCTCGGCAGTTGGGTTTCTTTGGGAGGTGCTCCATCCAGCAATATTTGAATGACCTTGCTTGGTTGCATTAAGGTTACCAGCAGGGTTTACTTTTCCACGCCCTCTCCTTCACATGATCCACTCGTCTTGGCGTGTGTGATATTTAGGTTAGGCTTTCTTGCCTTTCTGAAATTTTTCTTTTTTTGTTTCTCTTTCTTTCTTTTCTACACAGATAGGGAAAATCAGTGTGTGTCTGCGTTGGCTCTGTGTGTGTGAAGGAGATAGAGATTTCCTCATTCATTCCCTGCGCCTTAGTAACCAGCATAGCTTTGGAAGATTTATATTTATATATTTGCCCAGAAAATTGTATTTCTTCCTGGAACTCGAGCAAACGTTGAATCCCTCCCACATACTGTATGTGTGTATATATCTTTGTGTGTGTGTACACAGTAATATAATATAAGAATATAAAATAATATAAATATAATAAATATAATATAAATAATATTATAAATATAATATAAATAATATAAATAATATTATAAATATAATATACCTCCTCGCATTGTGTGTGTACTCCCTGCCCTGAATTTGTGCACAGAGAAAATATTAAAAAAAAACAAAACGGTAAAATATTAAAAATACAGAATGAAATCACGCTCGGGTAGGAACTCTGCTTTACGAATTCAGATGAGGGGAGAAAAAAGAAGTCAGTGGAGACCTTTGATTGACAGATAAATTGAACTCCAGGCAGGCCAAAGGACACCTTAAAAAGTTCCTATAGGAATATTTCCCTGAAAGAAAGTGCGAGGCTAAAAACGGTAGCAGAATAGCAGGCAGGCGAGGAGAAGGGGGAGTTCAGATTTCACAGCAAGACTGCTATCGAATCTGGATTTCTTGGACACACATGCACACCCCAGAGGGAAGGAAAGGAGCACATCCCCATCTCTTTCTATTTAAAGGACGCTCCTTATGGAATGAAATACTGTTCCTTCAGACCAGTTAGGGAAGGCTGGGCTGCAGTGAGCCAGGACTCCTGAATTAAGATGAACTGGGAATCTTGAATCAGCTTTAATCAAGCAACTTTTCCAAAGTCAGAATAATAATAATAATAATAATAATAATAATAATAATAATAATAACAATAACAATATCACAGCAACCCAATAATAATAATAACAACAACCACAATGACACTCAGTAGGGCTAATAATCAAGATGATGACGGAAGAAGAAAGAGAAAGAATTTCCCTGGATTTACTTCATTTTCTCCTTCTCAGATCCCCCGAACAAGGTGTCTAAAGGAACCCATTCTTGTTCCTGAGTCTATGGGGAGCCTGGCGCTGTGTGTTGGGGTGTCAGTTCACTGGTGGATCCTAGGTCCCTGTGGGACACATCCCTTCCCTTTCTCTGCTTCTCTCTGAGACCTCCATACCGTTCTCTGCTTCGACTTTTTCTTGAACCACCCTCTCCTTTTGTTGCAAAATTACCGCACCTCCAAGCCGATTCTGCTACATACACTGGAAACCGTGAATCCTCTCTGACAACGTCGGGGGGCAGGGGGGGAAGTCTCTTCGTGTTGTTGTCCTTTTGGGGTTGTTCTTGGTGTTGCACCATCCAGTCAATATTATTATTATTATTATTATTATTATTATTATTATTATTATTATTATTATTATTCTGACGCAAAAACACAGTATGTCATAGCAAATGAGATTATTATTATTATTATTATTAGGAGAGAGCTCTCATTTTACAGATGTTTCCCCCCAGAAGAAACAAGCAACTCTATCCTTCCAGATTTCTCAAGGTACAAGCTAAACAAGAGACACCTACCACCTTATTCTGCCAAACAATTGTTATTATTTGTAAAACACACATAGAAAGAAGTCTTCAGGTGGAGTTCTGACAGCTATTTGGTAAAATGGGGAGTGGGTTGCATAATAAGATTTATTTTTTATTTTTCTTCTGCTGGTGATGGAGATGATGATGGAAGAAGACAACCCAAGCTCTTCGAAACAAGCACCCTCCTTGTTTCCACATGCAAATGTCCCTCACTCCCAGCCATGCCTTCTCACTGAAACTTCCTCGTACAGTTTTATTTAATGAACGACACATTTATGAACAATCAAATGATCCTCGTAAAATTTTTATTGAAGGACATAAAAACATCCACCACTACTTGCAGAATAAAGCTGCCTCACACAAGAGGAGAGTCCTGTGTTGTTGTTGTTTTGGAGTGGGGGGGGGGTTGTTATGATGATATTTCCATTCATGTTTTACAAGGTCATCCTCCCTGAAGAGAATCAACACACTCAAAGACAAATAAGCACCCATGCATATAGATAGGTATACATAAAGAGAAAGGCATGTGATGCCTAGAATGTCTTGCTGCTAAGTAGGTTGACAAATATGCATCTCAGGGTGAATGACAAAAGGTCTTTTGATCAGCCAGAAGTAGCTGACTATATATAGTCACATACATGAATATATATATAGATATATGCAACACACACATACATATTCATATGTGGGTGCTAGCAGGCGTGCATAGAGAAAGACACCCCTAAATGATTATATATCCATTCATGGGCTGCTGCAGAAGAAGAAGAAGAGATGAGCCAGCAGAGCAAACTCTGTCAGGACCTTCAACCGACCCCCTCCTCCTTTGCCCCTTTAAAGAAATTCCATGTAATGTATCCATTATAGAATACTAGCTGGAGAAGCCAAGAGAGACCAGACAGAGACAAATTGCGTCAAGAAATAGTTCCTGTGATACCTTGCTACACCAGATACCTAGCCCTCGCACACACAGGCACACAGCCTCTCTCTCCCTCTCTTTCTCTCTCTCTCTCTCTCCCCCCTGTCTCTCTCTCTCTCTCTTTCTCATTAACAGCAGAGCTATGGAAAAGCCAGGTCGCAGAGCGAGCCCTCCAGCCAGCGAAGGAACAGAGTCGCCTCTCAGCGAATGGCACGTAAGACCCAACTGCTGCTAATAGCTGCATTATTTCAAGAGTTTTGATGAAAACCCAAGTCGCATAGGCGCTATTTAAAAAGAGAGAGAGAGAGAGAGAGGAAAAAAATTGAAAGCGAGGGGGAAAAAAAGACCTGCGGATTGATCTACACTGTATTTTGGGTAAATACAATCACGTGAGCGCTGGGAGCCAATGGCAAGCGGGGAAAGGCTGAAAAAATAATTACCTGCCCTGATTGTTCTATGAGAAGATAAAAAGTACACATACAGTTCATACAATAATCTTATGAATGTAAAAGAGGGGGGAACAATGTCGGCTTCGGGTCCCATAAGCAACTATTATGTAGATTCCTTGATTAGTCACGAAAGCGACGAACTGTTGGCATCCAGGTTCCCGGCGACTGGCTCTCACCCTGCGGCAGCCAGACCGTCAGGACTAGTACCGGAGTGTGCCGATTTTCCGTCCTGCAGCTTTGCCCCCAAACCGGCCGTGTTTACAACTTCGTGGGCGCCCGTGCACTCCCAGTCGTCCGTGGTCTACCACCCGTATACCCACCAACCTCACATTGGAGCTGACACCCGGTATATGCGCACTTGGCTGGAGCCTATCTCCGGCGCGGTTTCCTTCCCAGGTTTTCCAACCAGCAGCCGGCACTACGGGCTTAAACCCGACGCCTTCCACGGCCGCAGGGATTGCGGACCCGTGGATGCACGTAGTTACCCGGATTATATGTACGGATCCCCGGGAGATCTCAGGGACAGAACCCCGCAGACTATTCCCTCCCCGGAATCTGAGGCCATCGCTTCCAACAAACACAAAGAAGAAAAGACCGAATTGGACCCTAGTAAGTCGAAGTCATTCTTGTTTACAACCGGGAAGGCATTACAGCCCTCCCTGGCACAGTACTCAATAAAATGAAATTACCTTGCTGTTTAGGATTCTTGGAGTCCTTGCCTTGAAGCTCCAACTGGACAAGGCTGGTGTGGTTGTTGTTTGGAAGGAAAAGGAAAAGCAGAGTTAGAAGATCAGCAGTGTTTTGGGGGCAGAAGGGAGGCAGTGAATATTGTTTGTGAATATTATTGATGATTATTAAGGGTATTATTAAGGTGGGTGGGTGTTTTTTCCCCCCTTACCTTTTCCTTTTCTCACCTTCGCATGATCAAATATTCATAACCTGCCATGCCCTCACTTCCTTGCCCTTCGTCCTTCAGACTTTTCAGGAATCTGGGAAATACAATTGACTGTGGCAAGGAGAGGTTATCTCAATAGTATATGCATTACTTCTATGATTATTTTCAAAGGAGAGAAGGGAAAGAAATCCTCAGAGAAAGCTCACCCTTGGATTATGGGTCAGATGGGCTTACATAATCCTAGAAGATGTCTGAAATGTTTGGGTTGGGAAAGAGAGACAGAGAAAGAAAGAAAGAAAGAAAGAAAGAAAGAAAGAAAGAAAGAATAAGGAATGACTGTAGATTATTAAAAGTAAAATGACTGAGCAAAAAAAAATCTGAGTTGAATAGATGGGAAATGCAGGCATGTGTGTAGGAAGAGAAGTGAACCATTCCTTCTCCCTCTGTCTTTCAAAAAATGTTCTACAGTTCAACTTGCCAGCCAAGGGAGCTAAAGGAAGAAATACCCTTGAACATTGTGAAAACCGCCGGTAGGGCATCCAAAGGATGTGTCCACTAGTAGTTTAAAAACTCATAATTCTTCTCCCCAGCCCACTGGTCTCTTCCTCGTGGACATAAGCCATTTAAGTGCAGGGGGAATTGTTTCTGGGCAATTGGAAGTCAAGGCAAAATAGTGGGGATCCAGCTCACCAAGAATGAATGTTCCCTTGTGTGCACCTCTGATTATATTTTATGTGTGCATTTTTGTGCATGTAGTACACAGAGCGAAAATGGGCTCACATGGACACATGCACACCTCCACAATCTGCCCCCTATGCCAGGTGTTTACAAAGCTTTTTATGGGCCTAACAATATGATCAAATGCTGTTTGGTCCTCTGCTCTTTTATTTCTGTGATCTGGGCCATAAAGCCTGATAGACAGAAATATATCTGTGGCTCTATATATACATATGTAGAAAGAAGAGAAGCACAGAGCAAGGGGGGAGAAATTTGTTTAAGGAGCCTTGAACCAAGAAACTATTTATTCACTTCAAACTTCTTAGAGTCTAAAACGTGAGTTATTTCCCTTTATCAAAGCTACAAGGAAGTTTAGTATAGAAGAAGGTGAGTTAGGGTTGTGAGGGGATGTTTTTCTTGGAGCCAGTAGGCTTATCCTGGGGCATTCTCAAGATATTAAAAAAATGCCTGCAGTTCCATCAGTGGGAAGGTTATAGAGAGGGGACCAGAGAGAGTAATGGTTGTAAACAGAGTTTATGGGCCTATGAAGTGGTGGGAATTTTGACTTTTTATGACTATGCTCTTGGATTACTCCTACTGGTGTTCATGGGCAGCAGGAGCAGTGTTATTGCTCTCACTGTTATTATTATTATGACACTCTTTGCTCCAGTTTTGTTTTTAAAGTGCAACTTGTTGGAGATTGTGGTCAGTGAGTGAAAATAAAAATTATAGTCACAAACAGACAACACGAAGAAAAGAAAAGAAAGACCGAAAACCCTCTACAAGGCTGGCAAAGCTCAGTGAGGAACTCCCAGTCTTGTCGAAGGCTTTCATGGCCGGAATCACTGGGTTGCTGTGAGTTTTCCGGGCTGTGTGGCTATGTTCCAGAAGCATTCTCCACTGACGTTTCACCCACATCTATGGCAGACATCCTCAGAGGTTGTGAGGATGCCTTCCATAGATGTGGGTGAAACATCAGGAGAGAATGCATTGTCGAAGGCTTTCATGGCTGGAATCACTGGGTTGTTGTAGTTTTTTCCGGGTTATATGGCCATGTTCTAGAGGCATTTTCTCCTGACGTTTCGCCTGCATCTATGGCAAGCATCCTCAGAGGTAGTGAGGTCAGAAGAGAATGCTTCTAGAACATGACTATACAGCCTGGAAAACTCACAGTAACCCACTCCCTGTCTTCCTCGCTGGCTTCAAAGGTGGTGTCTTGCACCTTCACTTCCTATCAAAGAATCCACATGCCCTTAAACTATCCTGAAGGTCAATTCAGATCTGATCAGAGAATGTTGCTAAACAAGCAACTTGAGAGACAGAGCAAAAGGGAATGAAAGGGAATGAGGCATCATAAATGGTTAAATAGGGTTCTGAGGATTTTAGAACTGGGAGTAAGTGATAAGTAGATTCCTGTGGACTTGTATATCTGTATATATATAAATATATATAAATATCCTTTATATATATATCTATACTTCAAACGTGGCAATCTTTTTTTTCCAGACAACCCTGTGGCAAACTGGATCCATGCACGCTCCACAAGGAAGAAAAGATGTCCCTACACGAAATATCAAACGCTGGAATTAGAAAAGGAGTTTTTGTTCAATATGTACCTAACTCGGGACCGCCGTTACGAAGTGGCCAGGGTTCTTAACCTCACGGAGCGCCAAGTCAAAATCTGGTTTCAGAACAGGCGGATGAAAATGAAGAAAATGAACAAGGAGAAAACCGACACTAAGGACCCGCAGTGAAATGAGTCCCAGGAAGGAAGGAAGGAAAGAAGGAAGGAAGGAAAGAAGGAAGGAAGGAAGGAAGGAAAGAGGAACCCAGGCGCTGTTTCTTCTTCCTTGGGCTTCGAAGCGTCCCTGACTTTTCTTTTTCCGTGTGCTGATGAGTGTTTAGAATTAGTTAAACACGGCAACCATTCTGGAGCAAAAATGGACATACAAAGGAGTGCTTTTCTTAAAAAAAAAACCACACAAAATAAAAAAAATTGCAACTAGGAAAAAATAAACATTTTTTTCCTTTTCAGAAAACAACCACAAACTACTTGAAGGGTTTTTTTTTTGTTAGAATTTTATTTTGTAAGTTAAATTTTATCCAGTGCTTTTTTTTGTTTTGTTTTGATTTCATGACGTCGTGGCTGCATATTTTGTACAAATGGAAAGCAAAAAAAGGGGGGTTGGGGAAAGAAGGAGGAAGGGGTGAAAGGGGGAAAAAAGTGAACCGCTCCAAACAATGTTTCCTGTCATAGTGTTGAACCTTTCTGGTGTACTTATTTGTGTCTTCTCTGATTGTCACAGAACCGTTCTGTAATGCTGTTATGTTTTGCCTATAGTAGAGCAGCTTTCTGTAAATATCGACCTGATGCCACAAAAAAGAGGAGAAAAAGAAAAAAAAACCTTTGATAATCGAGGCGTCTTTCTTTTTTTAAATATATCTATCGATATCTCTTCAATTCCTTTGGAGGACTAATCCAACCTGACAGTCTCATCCAACAACCCCCATTTGCAAACAGATTTCGAGGGCGGGAGAACCTTTCCTTGGCTTCCTAAAGGCACCCTTTTGGAGAAGGTGCAGTAATGGGGATTTGGGGTCCTTGGGAGAAGAAAACCCTCTTTCAGGAAGTCAGGGAGGGGGAAGAAAGGACAGAGCTTCCGCTCACAAGCCACCCGCCCTTTTCTCTCTTTATGTATTTATATCTGCACCCATTCTAGTGGTAGACTCATAAAAGGAGAAGTTTGGATCACCGGAGACAGTGTGCTACACATATCTTCTTCTTCTTCTTCTTTTTGGGCAGGGTAATTAATTGTACTAATTTATGGCCCCCGGGCAATTAAAATATATGTTCCAGATTAAATATGTGGGGGAGGCCGCCTTTACCTTTTGTTGTCTCTCTCGGAGAACAAGCCTAGTGGAAATCCTTGGGAGGACTCTCAAGGCAGGGCCAAAACACTTGTAACCCTGTCGCTTTGGGGCAATGTGTGCCACCCCCAAACCCCCTCCCTGCAAAAACAAGAGGTTGTTTGTCCTGCCAAGGGGTTTGGAAGGCGGGGGACTGGTCCCAAATAATTAATAATTTTTAGCCATTTTAAATAAATAAATGCATCCAAGACGGCGGGCTTTAGGGCTGGTTGTTTCTCTTTCCAACCCACTCCCAAGACAAAGAACTTTCCTTGACTTCTCCTTGGCAGGCTAACGGTGTTAAAAATCAGACGTTTGCCCTGCTTAGGAACGAGTTAAGTGACACGAGGCGGGTTGGGGAGGGAAAGGAGGGGGGGTGCAAGGAGAGAGGCCAGGGATTCTCGTTTTTTATGGTCCATTTTAGCCTTTCCTACAAATGAATGTTTCCGAAGTCCCCGCTAAATGAAAGGCGAGGGGATAAAAAATGAGCAGTGGCGAGATGGTTCATCATCACAACTTGTGATGGGGGTCGCTTTCCTTAATGAGACGAGCTGAGCACGGTTTTAATCTTTCTAATGACAAACAGATCGGGGGTGGGTGGGTGATCGGCCGTTCCCTTCCCTTTCTCCCCACCGCATCCAACTCGGAACCAACACAACAAAAAGAAATATATGTATTTTTTGCAAGTACCAATAAATCTGGAAACCTTTTTTCCCCTCGTGGATGCCACACAAGGTTTTTTTCGGAATTGTGTCCTCAACCCCGTTGCAGTCCCGCCAGTGCCCTCATTGCCGTTTTTGTTTGTTTGTTCCTGTCCTCATTGAGAGCACTTTTGGGGGGCTGTTGGGGAGGAAGGAGAGGAAGGACGGGAGGGGAAGTGAAGGGAAAGGGCGAGGAAAAGCCTTTCTGGTCGCTACATTTCCCAGGGACCCGCTGGAAAGCATAGGAGAAACTCAGGTGGAATAATTATGTTAATAATAATAATAATAATGGTAATAGGGAGAATAATATTAGGAAGACTCACATTATTTTTTAAATGCCATGTATGCATGAGAGAGTGAAAGGAATGAAAAAGAGAATATGCCTATAACCTTTCTTGCTTGCTTTCTTTACTCCTCCTCCTCCTCTTTCTTTCTTTCCTCCCTTCACCACCACCTCTCTCCCTCTCCCTCTTTCTCCCTCCCTCCCTTTCTTTCTTTCTTTTCCCCTCTCCCCCTCCTCATTTCAGGAAGGCTTATGGCCCAGCCTCGAGGCCATTTTATTAACTTTGATCCTTCACCATGCTTGTCCAACTCTCCCCTTCCAAGCAGCCTTCATTTTCAAGATGACTAAAGATGCGAGGGGCTCTTTCACCTTTCCCTCCGCCCCCCTCCGCCCCACAGCTCTCCTTTTTCCCCGGGCGCCTTTAGCAGGGGCTGAGCTCCCCTTGGAGCTGGGAGGGCTTTAGGTGAAGGGGGGGGGGAGGAGAGACGACGACGCAAAGAATGTAAGTTATGCTCCCTTTGTCTCCCTAAGACGCTTGTTCTCGCCCTCCCCCTCCCCTCCTTGCCTCTCCCCCCTTCTTCTTTCTTTCTGACTTGCTTTGTTTTATGGGAGAATGAAGGGACAGTTCATGTGCAAGTCTCCCCCCTCTGCCTAAAGCTTAAACCCACCCTCATCCCAGTTTCAGGAGGGCCCTGGCATATTTATTTGGGGGGGGGGGGCTTTACTCGCAAGTAAACTCCACTGGTTCTCGCCACTTGGTTCAAGCAAACATCCGCAGGACTGCAACCTTAGAGGAGATGACACATAGAAGTGTGTTTCTGTGTGTGTGTGTTTTATATGATCACCCATCCACAATGCAAAATAACAATAATGGCGAACCCCCCTCCCATTACCTTGGTGGGTGCATTATTATTTTAAAGGCCATTTCTTCACTGCCACTCCACCCCACTATCTCGTTCCTGTGTTCATATTTCCTCTGACTCTTACAGAAAGAAGGAAAGAAAGGAAGGGTTTCTCTGCTGTGTTCAGTGCACACTATCTACACACATCCATTTTTGGAGAGAGTAAGTGCAAGGGAGAAAGAAAGAGAGCTCTCATCTTCAGCTTTGGAGAAATTGGGGGGGGGGGGAGGAGAAGGAAGAGAAGCGACCCTTTTGTAGTCGACACAAAAAAGACAGGATACAGCAGCTTTGAAAGCAGCCCATAGGTACACTTCCGCAGCCCAAAAATGCCAGTTTTACAGCTCTGTTTGTCTCACTGCTGAGGGTGCTGAATAGGATGGAACAAAACAGGACCCCAGAACCGGCTAGACGTCTGGCCTTAATTGTTTTATGGTTTAAATAAGGTGGGTGCTCTTCTCTTTGAAACCGGATTATTGGAATGTTTTGTCTACCAGCAACAAACAACAGACGCACATCGCCCCCTCCCCAATTCTCCCTCTCCCTCTCTTTCCCCCCTCCATTCCAGGCCATTGCAAACCCCCTCCCTCCCCAGTAGAGGAAAAGCAGAGAAGGGGAGGGGGGTAATCTTTGAAAACACAAGGGGGTGAAATAGGAAGGAAACTGGCCAGAAATGGTGAGAGAAGCTGCTCCATTTCCCTCGCGCTTTTTTGTGCCATTTTTTTTAGTGTGTAGGTGCTTTGTTGTCATTGTGAGGATGATGGGTGGTGGGTATAACACAGGCAGGAAACCATGATTACATGTGCTTCTGTTGGTACACACATATAAATAATTCTTTCTACATATATGGACTTTGCCAGTGAACACGGTGGTGGTAATATCCAAGCAATTTCCACTTTTCTTGACAGAATTCGGTTAAACAAGCAATGGGAAAGTGCTTGAGATCCAGCCCGGATTTGACCTGATTTTTTAAAGCTTCTTTTTTTTTAAAAAAAAAATAGCTCTGAGATCAGATTTCTTCACATTCTCCTCCAGAATTTACATCTGTGTAGACACACATATATAGATAGATATGGATACATACAAATACATATATACATTTATATCTGCCCATCATTTGTGTCAGTCGCCAGAAAAAGTCTGCTGTTGGTCCACTGAGAAATATGGGCAGTCCATTCAAAACACTTATATTCATTTGCCATAGCATATATATATGTATAAATATATATATATTCATACATACATATATGTGTGTGTGTGTGTGTGTGTGTGTATATATATATATATACACATATGTATGTATTGTATGTATATGTGTGTATATGTATATATGTGTGTGTGTGTGTGTATCTATATATATGGGTATATATAATCATCTGCTTTTGTTTCTTTTCCTTTTTTTCACCTAATCGGACTCATTTGCAGAGGAAAGGGATGGAAGGGTGCTTTTTTTAAAAAGGGTGGAGATTCTTGATGGCGGTTTTCCAATTTCCCCCCACCTCTCTTTATTTAACCCCAAGGTTTTGTTTTGAAGGCGGTGGTGCCTTGAGCAAAGCCAACGCGAGATGGCGCTGTTGCTCAATCTTAGAAGCCACCAGCTGCTTTCTTGACGTCGCTTGTGTGGATTGAGCACCTCTAGGCCTCTTGCTGGGAATGCAAAGAAAGCAGATTCGAGAAATAAAAGTCTATATCTTGAGAATATCAGCTGCGGTTTGAAAAATCAGGTCCAATCCGGGATGGACCATTGCGAATATTGTGGAAATTAGTTCGGCGTTGCCTGCCTTGACCCTTCTTCATACGAAATCCATGGATGTGCAAAAGGAAAGTCTATTGAAGGCTAGGAAAATATCCAAACAATTTGGTAGGGTATTTTTTGGCAACACCTCTGCTTTGTGTTTTCTTTATTAAGCCCACAATAACTTTAAAAAATAAAAATAAAAATTATTATAAGGAAAGTACTAATGTTTCAATAGCAGCGAATATGGGTCTTTTGGAGATGGAACAATGCAGCATGTATTTATTTCAAATAATAAGATACAGCACAATCACAATATACAATAGCACCGGTAATTTCCAGAATAGAATCACACATATTGATATATACATTTGGAAAAGTCCATCAGGAGAAAATAACTGCATTTTTATTAACCCTGAAAGAAAAAAAAAGACCTGGTTTGAGTAAAATGGAGGAAACATTATCTGATTGTATTGTATTCAATTTTCTCCTTGAAAACTATCAACTTCTTTCAGGCCCTGAATAAAATCCCACATTGTATCAGCTTTGAACTGGAATATATTGTAGTGTGGACTCATAACCCAGTTCAAAACAGATATTGTGGGATTTTCTGCCTTTATATTTTGGATTTTATGAGTACGTGGGAGAGCCCTCAGTGCCCGGTTTCCCAGTCTCCTTTCTGTCTCAGAATCATATGCACAACCCTATTGTTTCCCTGCATTTCTTTACTTCTGTTCCCAATGTATTTTTCCTTGTTTGTAAAAAAAAAAACACAGAATAAAATCAAGATGTGAGCGAGTTGGGTGGGTAAGGGGGAAACCCACAACTTTCTGCCCTCACGGAACTTATTCCTCTTGCTCCAGATCATATTTTGCAAAGCCTGCATTTGCAGAGCCTGACACCGAATCTGTGGCAACAGCCGGAAGGTTTAACTGCTGGAATTTTAAAACTGCAAAGACATATCGATCACGCTCCCTGAGAAATTATCCCATTGACTCTGCAAGTCTTATCTGCCAATTAAGCTGGGTCTAACCCATTGGGGCTGTTACATGGGCTGTTTCAGAGCCACTGAGCTTGGCTACAGTGTTTTCTTCACATTTGGCAAGTGATCGCCTCTCTGTGCTGTATTTGAGACCACCAGTGTAGCATTTCATGTGCCATTTTCATACCACACAGTACAAAGGGAAATTAAGCAGGTATTGGCATCTTTGGGCATGAAAGGGAAACGGAAAATCTCCTCGGGCGGGTTTCTTCCACACTATGGGGAGGGGAGGGGGAGAAAATCTATTTGTTTCATTTGGTAAACCCTTTGAGGAAGCTTCCCCATCCGTTTCTGTGCCTTTTGTTGAAAAAAGAAAATTACAAGCTAGTGACAGACTTAGGTGCTGTGAAAATGAGACAAGAGGAATGTCAGAATTAAAGCTGCTTTGCTAACAAAAGGCAGAGAAGAGTGTAAGAAGGTAAATACGCTCGGAGATTGGGTCTGAAGTATCCCTGACTGTTCTGCCCACTTCATAACAGTTGGGATTTCCCTAGCCTTGGCTTCTATAGACACACAACCACACCTGAAATTAATTTGCTTGACATTTTCTTGGGGGGGAGGGAGGATATTAGAGGAAGAGGAGGAAGAAGGTTGCTACTGCTGCTGAGTTTATGAAAGGGCCTTGAGGAGAGTTAATTTATAGAAGTGAGCTTGATTTTTGTCGTTTCTAAGAGCCATTATATACACACACACTCACGTGCCGAGCACACATGCACCCACAACCCAGGAAATATTAATTTGCAAACTTTAGAAAGAGGGAAGGCTTCTGGTTTTATGCTTCTGTTTAATGGCCTGAGCTTTTTTTTTAATGCAGTCGTAAAAAATGAAGTCTCCCAACTGGAAGCTTTCAGCCAGTGGTCATTCTGGTGGGGGTGGGGTTGTATGTTTGTGTGGAAAGGCTGCAGGAGAACTCTTTGCTAGGCTTCACATATAACAGACATGCTCCATGCCTAGGATATTGGACAATTGTCCACCATTTGGTCCTAGAAATGAGGCTACCCGGAAACACTAGCCCTCTCCTCCCTTTTCCTTTGCCCAATGCTCAGCTAAAACATTTCCTGTATATAGATACCAAATCCTTACTTCTTTTCCTTTTTCTTTTGGGATGAGAGGGTACAAAGAAAAGAGAATAACAGACCATGATCCTTATTATTGCGTTGTTGTGAGTTTTCCGGGTTGTATGGCCATGTACCAGAAGCATTCTCTTCTGATATTTCACCCACATCTATGGCAGGCATCCTCAGAGGTTAACCATAGATGTGAGTGAAACGTCAGGAGAGAATGCTTCTGGAGCATGGCCATACAGCTCGGAAAATTCACAACAACCCAGTGATTCCAGCCATGAAAGCCTTCGACAACACATCCTTATTATTGTATGTATGAACATATATATATATGTGTGTGTGTGTATATGTGTGTGTGTGTGTGTATGCAAAAAGGGATATATATATATATACACATGCAAAAAGGATTCCTCTCTAGCTGAGGAAAAAGCAGCATAATCCTTTCTTCAATCCCTCTGTTGTTGTTGTTATGATTGTGGTGGTGTTTTCCCCCACTGAAGCATTTCACTTCACTCCCTTGCCCAATAATCACAACACACCACATTAAGAGTAGGGACAATTCCATTGCTGAGCTTGTCCCCAGCATCTGGCCTACTCTCAGGGTCTGCTGTTTAATGTCCTACCCTTAATAATAATGGGTTGTTGTGAGTTTTCCAGGCTGTAGGGCCATGTTCCCAAAGCACTCTCTCCTGACGTTTCGCCTGCATCCATGGCACGCATCCTCAGAGGTTGGGACAACCAGAAAACTCACAACAACCCAGTGATTCCAGCCATGAAAGCCTTCGACAATACAATAATAATAATAATAATATTGACATGGGGGTGGCATTTTATCCCGATTACCTGTTGAAGTAACCTAAACTGACCTCTCTGGCGCATGTATTTGCTCAGACAAGTGAAGAGGCTCCTTTGCAGAAGGGGAGGGGGGGGGAGAGGAAGAGCACCTAAGGGTATTCCTGCGCACCTTTCATAACCCTGTTTCATTCACCAGATATGAGGGCGGCTCTGTTTTTGTTCCCCTTTTTTCCTGCTGGCGAAGGGCTGGTTCTTTTTCACCTCCCCGTCACCCCACGAGCCCCTGATTTCCTTGTCATTTTCTTCCTAGCCTGTCTTGTGCTGCTGGTGGATTGATGAATCCAGATCGCGTGTGAGCTAGAGAGAGAGAAAGAGAGAGAGAGAGAGAGGCTCACCACCGGGATTTTGAGGAATTTGCCTGTGGTGTTAAAGGGAAGGGAAGAAGTAAGAGAAACTGCGAGAGAGCTCTACCTATCGACGGATATAAGAGAAGTCAAGAGCATTAGGCATAAGCAGCAGCCATACCCACTCAGGCACTATGAAGCGTCTTTGAGAGAGAGAGGGGGAGAGAGAGAGGGAGAGGGGGCAGAGAGAGAGAGCAGAGAGAGAGAGAGCGGGAGCATTTTTTTAAACAAAAAACAAAAAACAACCCACAACCAGCCACTAACCAGGACTTTGCAGAGTCCAGGGAGAGGGAAAAGCGAGGGTCCTTAGCCCTGATCTCTTAACAACAGAATTAAAGACTTCCTTTTCCTTTCTTTCTTTTTTTTCCCTTCAGAAAAGGGCATTATTTATTTATATTTGGGGGGGAAGGAGGTTGGCGTTCCCCTCTTTCTTCCTTCCTTCCTTCCTCTCCTCTCCTCTCTCCTCTTCTCTCATGCGAGAGCCATGAGTTCCTATTTTGTCAATCCGCTCTTCTCCAAGTACAAAGGCGGGGAGTCCTTGGAGCCAACTTACTACGACTGCCGATTTCCACAAAGTGTAAGCAGAAGCCATGCTCTCGTGTACGGTCCGGGCACCACGGCTCCCAGCTTCCAACACCCTTCCCACCACGTCCAGGAGTTCTTCCACCACGGCACCTCCAGCATCTCCAACTCGGGATACCAGCAAAATCCATGCGCCTTGGCGTGCCACGGAGACGCGTCCAAATTCTATGGATACGAAGCCCTACCCAGGCAGTCGCTTTATGGTGCCCAGCAAGAGGCAACCGTGGTACAATATCCTGACTGTAAATCCTCTTCCAACAGTAACTCTAGCGAGGGACAAGGGCATTTAAATCAAAATTCTTCTCCCAGCCTTATGTTCCCATGGATGAGACCTCACGGTTAGGATCTATTTTTTATTACTCTCCTCCTGTCTTACTTTTAAATGTGTTCTTGTCTGTTTTCAGGAAAAGAAAGAAAGAAAGAAAGAAAGAAAGGGGGTGGGGGGTGGGAATGGGGGTGTTGTGTGGGGGGAGGTATTTCTGTTTTGGAGACATAGAAAGGTTGTTGGTTGCAAGAACGTTACTTCTTCCTGTTTGGGGAGGTTGGGAGGGGGACGCTTTCTCGAAAGTAAACAAGGCTTTGGTTGGGTTTGCAAAGCTAGCAAGCAAGGTGATGTCTGGGTTTAAATCACAATAAAGTAAAACTTTTGTTTAATGGCTTGCCTCGAGGAGAGCAATAAGATACAGCTCCCACGAGGTTATTAGCATGTTGATAATACTCTGCACCCCCCTCTTAAAATGTCATACAGCTTTTCTTAACTGCTTGACGTCTTGGGGTAAAAGGTGAGCTTAGAAAGAAAAGAAATATATCAAAACGTATGATATTTGGGGAGATCTCGGAACTTAAAAGCTTGAAACGTGTAAATGTCAACTTTGTTCAGATATATATATATCTCTCAGATATATATATCGTATATATATCGTATATATATATATCAGATGTATATATCAAATATATATATGTATATATGTATATATCAGCTATATATATCATATATATATATATATCAGATGTATATATCAGATATATATATATAAAATGTATATATCAGATATATATATATAAAATGTATATATCAGATATATATATATATATGATATATATATCTGATATATACATTTGATATATATATATATGTGTGTGTGTGTGTGATATATATATATATATATATATATATATATATATATATATGGAAAATATTCGCCCTGAGACCCCTCAGGAAGAGAGGACAGAATATAAATAAAGTTATTTTATTATTATTATTATATTTCAAACTGTCCTGCAATAATTACTGATGCTGTGGATGAGAGTAGTACTAAAATGGTAATGATGATATTACTACTACCATTAATAATAATACTAATAATTAATACCAATGGGTAGAGTTTAGTCTAATTTGATTGACAGGCGCTCCATTAAAATGCCCCACAGAATTTTGTCCTCATTCCCTAAGACAGCTTTCATCTTCCCAAAAAACGCTTCTTGGAAGGCTTTTTAAAATCCAAACCTAAGAAATCTGACTTGGTTTTAAGAAGTTGTCCTATCTTGGCCCAGGACACCTTCAAGACACCAAAAATAGATTTAAAAAAAATTAAAAGCAAGAAGTTATTGTTATTCAGATTGCCGATACTGAAATTTACAGCAAACCTCTCCTGGGACAGTTTCTAAAAACAGGGTGCATGTGGAGTTTAATGGTATGCGTACAGCAAATACTACATACATATTCTAATTTTCAAAATACTGCACTATATATCCATTGTTATAGGGGCAAACAGAAGGTTTAAAGAGTACCTTCTGTTTGTGTGTGTGTGTGTTGACACAGGCATGCATATGGATGGATAAAGAAGACACTCCCACAGATAGCAGAAGCATTGGCCCCCCATAACACACACACACACAACCCCTTCAAATGCAATCCCAAAACAAACAAATAAATACTGAGGAAATGTGTCCACTACCTATAAAGTCTAAAGGACAAGGAGGCTATATCTATTTGTTTATGTATATCTGTATAGATAGATATCAATTACAACAATAACAAACAACAAAACTGTGTTTGCACTAGGAAGGCAAAAGCCAATATTACAATGCACAGACATAGGGCGGGAGAAGAGAGAGGATGGAAAGAGGAGGCTGAACAGGGAAACTCGGGGAAACTAAGGCGATTTGTCTGAAAGAAAGGGTTTCTTTGGTGTGAGCGTAGGAATGCTCCCAAGAGTTTGGAGACGAGGAGGGAAAGCGCGCGTTGAAGGGTGGGGGGGGGGGGAGAACAGAAGTGGCCTTTAAGGCTGAAGGAAAGGAAAGAGACCCCAACAAGTTCAATAAGGGTGCATGTGTGTGTCTATATCATCTATCGATATCCATATCTCTATGTTCCTTCCTGTTGTTGCTGTTCCCCAGCTCCCGGAAGGCGCAGTGGCAGGCAGACTTACAGCCGGTATCAGACCTTGGAGCTAGAGAAGGAATTCCTCTTCAACCCCTATTTGACACGGAAGCGGCGCATTGAGGTCTCTCATGCCCTGGGACTGACAGAGAGGCAGGTCAAGATATGGTTCCAGAACCGGAGGATGAAATGGAAGAAAGAAAACAACAAGGATAAACTCCCCGGAGCCAGGGACGAGGAGAAAACCGAGGAGGAAACCAACGAGGAAGAGGAAAAAGAAGAGGAGGAAAAAGAAGAAAGCAAGGACTGAGGCTCTCCCTCAGCTCCTTGAAGTCCTCGTTTTATGGCAGATGATAAATCGAGATGTTTACGACGGTCATTCGCTTTTATAGAGTATAGAATGGAGAGACTCTCACACAACAGTAACTACCTGTCAAACAGTTGTATTCTCCCCCCTCCCTTCTTTTTTTTACAATCATAGAGCTTCCCCGGGTTTTCCCCATTCCTTAACGCTGATTTTTCCCCTCCCCCTGCAAAAAAATTGATTTAATTCTTCTCCCAAATAAACAAAAGTAGACCTGGATTGACTACAACCCAACCTCAATCCAGGATGATCCATTTCAATAGCAATGGATCTCACCACCAGCAAGAGTGAAATTCCCCTGCCTCGCTTTACCCCTTTCCTATAATTTAGTTATAAGCGAATTCATGCTATCTTAGATATTTATTTGAAGACCAGGAAGAACTTTCCTTTCTTCTAGGTCCCCTTCCACACAGCTGAATAAAATCCCACATTATCTGCTTTGAATTGGATTATATGGCAGTGTGGACTCAGATACTCTAGTTCAAAGCAGATATTGTGGGATTTTCTGTCTTGATATTCTGGGTTATGTGGCTGTGTGGGAAAAGCCCTGAATCCACAATGCCATATATTCCAGTTCAAAGCAGATATTGTGGGATTTTCTGTCTTAATATTCTGGGTTATGTGGCTGTGTGGAAGGGGCCCTGAGTCCACAATGCCATCTATTCCACTTCAAAGTAGATCTTGTGGGATTTTTCTACCTTGATATTCTGGGTTATATGGCTGTGTGGAAGGGCCCTAAGTCTTGTTTTCCACCTCAAACCTACCCCCGCCCAACCATTTCCCCAAGTTTAATAATAATGTAAAGGGGATTGGTGGCTGGGCGGGAGTGTGCTTTTTTTTTTGCTTAGGTTTTACTTAGAGCAAATATTTTCTTTTGAAGACAAATGCCAACCAACAACAAAGCTATCTACCTACATTTTCTGCCAAGCTAAAATCCAATTTGGGATTTTTTTTAATTTGTAGCTGTCAGTCTGTATCAATAGAAGGACAATATTTTGGTGTGTGTGTTTGTGTTGGAGGGGAGATGGAGGCTGGACAGATGCCTTGAATACAGAGCCACATGCTTCTGAGATATATACATATACATACACACGCATATATATGCATATGTATGTGTGTATATGTGTATGTGTGTGTGTGTGTGTGTAATTCACACACACACTCACATACCTGAACGTATTTGTATGCAAAGTCTACCTATCTGCGCCCTGCGATTTGGCAGGCAAAAGTTGATCACCCTAGGCATATTTACTTGGGAAGAAGTCCCATGCAGATCAGCGAGTTTGACATTTGAGTCAAGATGCCTAGGAGAACTGTGAAGGACGTGAAACTATAATGATTTCTATGGGGTTTGTTTCTTAGATTACTTGTGTGAGCACTCGAAATTCTTAACATACTACCTAGTGGGAAACCTGCAATAATCATCTATTCGCAACAAGGTGGGGGGCTTACACGTATTAAAAAGGGAAAAAGAAAAAAGGAAATGGGAGGGGGAGGGGGAGGGGGGAAGGAAAGGAAAGGAAAAGCAACTTCGTGGAAATCATTTTGAAATCAAGAGTTGTGTATTGCCCTAATGCAAGCTACTAAGTAGCATAATAATAATAATAATAATAATAATAATAATAAAAGTTTTAAAAAATACAAAAAAAAACATTGTAATGTATCTTATCACTACCTATAGAAGGAGTCATGCTTTGAAAGTATTTGTAACGCGGTTTTGTTGTCGTATGTTGCTGCTTATTTTTCTTGGAAAAAAAAATCCCAACAACTGAAACTGCCTAGATAAGAACGCACAGTATTGTATGATTTTATTGTGCTTATAATGTAGTTTAGGACTTAAATTGCACTGAATGTATAGTTATCTATTTGTCTTGACTTATCTGTTAATGCAACATGCTCGAAATGACACCAACACTCACAAAAAAAAGTATCATTTGTTTTATGTAAACCCATCGTCCTCTGCGTGTTCCAAACTCTGAATGTAGCAATTTCTGCCAGAAACCCAATTCTGGTCGCCGTGGATTTGTATTGTATACGTGAGACATTACGTAAATAAACAATAAAAATTGAGGGGGAAAAGATATGGAGGATCGAGGCTTCTTCAATACTCGGGTGGTTCTTTAGACCTATATTATGTGTTCATTAGCCCATAGGAGGTCTTGGTGGATCCATATGTTCAAAGTTACCTAACAGTTCAAACTCAAGACCCAGCTTTTCACTTCTAAAGAAAGGAGGCGTTACATTGACACGTTCCCAGACTGGGGATTAAAATCCTAAATGCATTGACTTGGAACCAGGAAGGCAGGCATCGCCCAGGGAGGAACAGCTGGACAGCAACTGAATAAACCAAGGCAGGAGGGGAAATGCCCTCTGATTCTGGGTAGGTGTTATGGGACCACTGCGAATGATCTCTTTGCCTGCAACCCACCAGTGAGTAAACCCCATTCACTTCCTAGCCATGTCTAAACTTGGGTTGCACATCAAGTCCGGCTTTCTACACAAAGACTCTCAGATGACGACCACCTAGGGATGGGTGGGTGATGGCATCCTCTCCCCAAGTTTATTTTTTTCCATCTCCTTTTGGTAACTTCCAGTTTACTGTTTACACTGGGATTACATTTATTTCTTCACTATACACTATGCCTTTTCGCTTCTTCCAATTTCCAACGGTCTAGCAAAGATGGTCCTTTCACTAGCACCGAAAACTCATATTTGTGGCGTCTTTTCCATCCTATTACGAATATTGCGCCTGGGTAGGATGGGATTAAAAGGCTCAAGTTTGCCTCAAGTCCCTCTCCAACCCTCAAGATGAAGAGAATGCAGAGAGCCAGCCCTTAATGGAGGCATCAAATTAAGTCTTTGCAATTTAATGTAGAATATAACACACAAGCTGGCTGAAATGGAACCCGCTACATACCCTCCTAAATGATAGGTCCCTTTGGGTGCCTTGATCCACACTTTTGTGCCTAAATGCGGCTTATCTTAAGGCGCTTCTGAACCTCGCCTCCTTTTCTCTCCTTCCATCTCTGGTAAACACAACAGTCACGCATCATGGGATAGTTTGTCCAGTTTGCGAGTGCAAGGAGGGTGGGGGATAAGTGGGAAGGGAAAGAAATTATGTGGAAATGCTTTCTACGCGTGTTAGGAATATTGGGACCTATTGCTATAGACAGACATCTCTCTCTCTCTCTCTCTCTCTCTGTCTGGTGAGCTGTGAAAATGGACCGCATCCTCCAGCGGCATCTGGTCTGAAAATGGACAGGTTGTTTACACTGATAGCTAGATAAGCCATTGTGGGATTCCTGAGAGAGATCCTGGCTTAGTCAAATGAATCTGGAAAAGAGCCTGGGAGGTTGGGAACATTCCTAACTTCCCCAAAAACCCATCCAGAGGTCCTTCACTATGTCAGTGTGTGTGTGTGTTTCTCTGTGCTGGACTCTCCAGAAGGAAACTGTACAAAGGGGCAGGGAAAGGGGGTCTCTCTATGCCTCCTACCTCCCCACACCCACATTTCAGCAAAGTGCTTTTATGGGGGAGTAGAAACCCGGTGAGAAGTTGAGGCTCCTCAATACCTCGTGCTTTAGGTACCCCGCCAAAACCGTGAACCTGACAATAACAACAAAATATAATAATAATAATAATAATAATAATAATAATAATAATAATAATAATAAAGTCTAGCACAGGTTATCTCTAAACGCAGACCTTTCTCCACAATAAGGGGGGTCCTACATTCTCGACCCTGCTTCCCAGGTGATGAATGTAGGCTCTGCCGACTTTTTTCCCTCTCTCCAAAACCTAGTATATCTGATAGCGACAAAAACAGAGATAGAGAATTACGACCATTTTAATGGTCGGGGAAGGGTCTCCATCCCACAGGCAGAACCCAAGCAGGGTCTTTGTGCCCTCTGGATAGGATCCGAATCCACGACAAGAGGCGCACGCAGCCCTTCTCCAAAAGGCTTCTCCTCGTGGCGTGGACACCCCTAGGCTCTGTCCATTCGCCTCTCTTATGCCATAACGCTTGCCAAGGTATAGGCTTTGTCAGACTACAAGGTAAGCCCTTTTATTACTCATCCTAAGGCAAGGGCCCGGTTGGTCGTCTTTGTGTGTGTGTGCTGTGTATATACAGTACACAAACCACACATACTTTATATACATATGGTATAGCAGTCCATATGCATATCTGGAATGTGTGTATGCGAAGCCTTCAGTGGGTTTAACTCTTAAATAAGCTCAAAGTTGGACTCCAACCCCTTTATCCTTCCAAAGCCAAGCTCGGGAGCCTCTTTTTCTCCTGCTAGTGAACTACCCATGTCTTCCTTGAGCTTACCCTCTTCTACATCTCTTCCTCCTTCTATAGCCATCCTTTAAGAAAGCCATTGGTTGGATAGTCCGACATTGGGTTTTAAATAGCTATAAGACGAGGCGAGGAAACTTAGTTAATTTCAAAATAAGGCAATTGAGAAGGGGGAAAAATGAGGGGGGGGACACAACAGAAGTGGGGGAGACAAGAGGGGAAAAAAAGCTGTATCTGCAACCTATCCATCATATTTAAGTCCACGTTCCTAAGTGGTTTGATTTGGAGGAATCTCCCGAACGAGACTGATCTATCATAGGGTTAGGAGTTAAATTATTGAAATGGCAAGGAAAAGCTGTTCCATTTTGGGATGGGGGGATGTTTATGGCTCCTAGTCAAGGCAACCCATTCGCATCTTTCGATGAAACAGGCGTTTTTTTAATTTTATTTTTATTTTTTTGATGTTGGTAATCACTTCATCATTTGAAAGGGGGGAAAAAAGAAGAGAGACTGAGGGGAAAGGGCCATTTTTATGGGGTGAAGTAATTTGAAAGAAGACAAGGCTTTTCACAAAGTGGCTGATTCGGAAATGATCATTACTTTACTATTACTGAAATGAGATTCATCCACCCGCCTGGAGTAAGAAATATCACCGTATTCTGCAGAGGTTTTTTTTTATATTAACCAATCAAAATTCTCTCAAATCTCCATTTGTGATTTGTGGAGAGAAAAAAAATATAATTCCTCCAAAAGCTGCATTGGAACATATTGCTCATTTTCTCTTAATTTATTATTCTAATCACAGCAGCCGTTACATGATAATGCATCCATTAAGCGGATGGGAAAGGATGCTGTGTAAAGTCATTTCGATTCGATATCGGGCAATGTACACAAAGGGCATTTGACACATACACGTCAAAGTTTGCAGGCACCAAGTTTTCAGACAGAAATCAAGAATAATCGGAAGGAGGGGAAATTCTCAAATAAAGTCGGGGAAAATGGATTTCTCTCCAATTTCTCTCTTTTCTTTCCTTCCTTCCCCTCTGTTTACCTCTTTATGTTTTTTGCAACTAGATTTTAGTTTTTTTGCAATGTTTAGTATTTTTTCTATCTTTCCCTCTCCGATCCGACTTTAAATCCGCATCAGGAGCGGATAGCACGCTTTTCAGGACTAAAGAACTGCGTGAAGATAAAGCGGGATAGAGACACAAAAGGAAAGGAGGGCAAATGCGTCGATGTCGGACAAAACTGTTCAGGACAGGTTAGGTTTGCTCCTGGTGGAGAGATCAAAATATCCTGTCCAGTTTTATGGGACCCCTTTTCCTCCCTGGAAAACGACGCTGTCCATTGTCTCCCGAGTCGCCCTTGTGAGGGTTCCTTCCTTGTCGTAACTTTTAACTACCTGTTATAAAATTTATGGGCGCTTTGTAAAAAAAGGAAAGAAAGAAAGAAAGAAAGAAAAAGTAATTTCCCTTCCATCCGGTTGGACTGCAAGCTATGGTGTGTTTTCAGACAGACAAACACTCGCACATGTCTTGGGAAACACACCCACACTTTGCTTCCTCCAAAGAACATGCCGAAAACAAGAGTCAACTGCCTGGCAGAGAAAGGAAAGCAATGGCTGGCACAACCCAGCCCCATTTGCCCCATGAAAAATGGGCAAAGTCGGGCAGAAGATAGAATCCAAGGTAGACTTCCTACTTCTCCTCACCAAATTGTCTTTCTGCCACCTCACAAAGTGATGGCTTCCTCCACCATCATATATATACAGTCTTCTGAAATATTATCTATATATATTTCAGAAGACAGTATCTCTGTTTATCCATCTGTCCATAAATTCATCTAAGTAGATCTCGATATTTGTATCATATCCGTAGTTGTCCTTTCTTCTACCTATATTTCTGTCTATTACGCCAGGATGGAACTAGCAAATCGAAAGGAAAATACTTTTGAGTCTTCTCAGATTAATAATCTATCAATCAGATGGATATATATACTCAAGGAAGTCTGTTTCATCATAATTCCCACCACGCCAGTTGAATCTCAGGGTATCACCATTCAAAGGCGCCTATAGACTCCTCCATGGGATACTGAGGTACTGGGATTAATGAAATCGTGAATGTGCTTTCTTTGTGTGATACTGAGGTCTTGGCATTAATGAAGTCGCGAGTGTGTTTTCTCTCTGTGCAAAGTGGGAAAACGCTTCCACCTTTGAGGTCGCCTATTCCATCCTTTGTGGATTTGAAGGCCAAGGGGGAGAACACTTGCCCCATATGGGTGGATACTAGGTTTCATTCAGGAACCTCCTGCTCCTAACAAACCAACAGAAGGAGTTCCCCTGGACCTAAAATGCAGGATTTGGGAGGACCTTGATATGGTTTGAGTGGCATTTGATTTCTCAGAAGAGTGCCAAGTGTGGAAAGGAAGGCGATGAAAATGGCTGACTGTCAGTGGTCGAGAGGAGCAGACAGAAGGGTCTGGGGATGCAACCCAAATCTTGGGTGCGGTGAGTGGAATAACCCTGTCGAGGGACGTGTCTCTATGTTTTTGTGTGTGTTTCACACACACTCAGGTTGTCATTTGTGGTTTCTCCATGTTGCACCCCACCCCCGAACCATGTCATTTACTCCAGGAAAGGTCCAGTCCGGAAATGTGAACACCAGGGTTTGTGGCCCTGGTGGGTTGCCACTTGAATAAACAAACCAGATCCAGATTGGAAACAATAAGCAAACTAGCAGCAATAATAGGAAAAAGTGTAGTCTGGAATGATAGTCCTCCTGA